CAAACGGTTATACAGAACTTAAGAACATGCAGCCATACATGTACATGCATGTATTGGGGGAAATTGTATATAAAGAGACTTCTCTTGTTTTCATTTTTGGACAAAAATTGGCCCCAAAGTCACCCCAAATTTTTTGATACATTTTGATGCCGTTATGCTATGTAGAAAGTTTGAGCTGATTCCGTCAAATATCCTTACTTTGCAACTGGTTGAATATTGAGTGCTCGAGTTTACCAACTGACTCAGGACAGAACCGTCCCAATAGCTCAATAGTCATAGACCAGACACCCAGTAAGACACACACTGCTGAACTAAGAGGAGGAGGACAGGAAGACTACATGTACATACAGTACATGATGAATGCAAAAAATTAATATACATGTACATGTACATCTACATGCACATTCTAAGTTAAACTGAGATAAAAAAGCAATAACAATAATAAGATAATCCCATTATTTTGACTCTTGATAATAACAAAAATATTACTAATGAGATTTAATACACAATAATTACATGTACATACTGTACATGTACAACACAGTCTCTCTCAAATGGGAGAGTTCCTTATCTATAGATGCATTGCTATACATACTGTACTGTACACTGTACATATAAATCAAAAAGTACATGTACATGTACATGGATATCGTTCACTACTCACTGAATTTGATGTCCCCATTCTGTCCCTCTTTTTCATTTCCATTGACCTATTGAGTCCAATCTGTATTGGGATTGGTGCTAAAATCAAGTAGTGAATCTTAGGGGGAGGGACACTGGTCTGTGGCCACACCTTCAATATCTTCTGAATACCTCTACCTACAATGTGTATATTTCCCTATGCCACCAATAAATCTAATTTTGATTGGAATGAGCTCAAACTTTCTACACAACATAACTACATGTATATGCATCAGGAAATGCATTTACTTCTGATAACCCTTGTAAAAATTCCCAGCAAGATCTTGTTAATTTTTTTACAAGATCATGACAATAATCTTGACAATAATTCGCAAGATCTTTCCTGAATTTGGAACAAGGATCATGTAAGATAGTGGAAGATCTTGCTATCAAGATTCCTTCAAATTCTTGCATGGTATTTTAGCATACAATGCTCTTTAAATATTAATGCAACAGTGAGATCTAAGCAAGATCTTACTTTGCATGAATGCATACTATAATGTTGTGAAATGTTAATGTGAGTGTGATTGATTTTTTTGATTGAAAGTGATTAAAATTTCAGTTTCTTTATATGCTGCCATTACTGTTAAGGCTATCGTGGGTTGTCAACTACTTAATGTGACGTCACATGATTTTTAAGATCTTTCAAGATCTTACAAGACTCAAAATACTGCGATGTGGGATCTTACAATATCATAAAATCATGGAAGATTTTTCAAGATCATAAACTTATGAGATTTTGTAAGACCGCATAATATTTTAAGCTAACAAGATAATGTTAGTTCTTACAAAGTTCACAATGTAGGATTTTTCAAGATTTTCATTAGGAAAATACTGCAATGTGGAATACTGCAATGGAACTCACCTAATGAATAATAAATGAATTAAATTATTAATAAAAGATAATTAATGTATCTTTAATTATTAAAATACTTAACCCTTTTCTCAACAGTTGATAAATCATTCTTAATAACACTAGCATCAGATATAACCATTGCATATTCTTCTTTATATCTAAGTAAAGTAAAAAAATAAGTTTCACTTTTAATGTATTTTGTTTTGTTCTTTACTTTGCTATAGAGGCTTCAAGTTCACCAGCAACATCTCATCAACATCAAGTTTATCTGAGACACAGTAGCTCCCTAAAGAACTGATCCATTAAAGACAGCTCATAGTATGATACTGCATACCCTGTCAATCACTAGTATTTTAAATAAATCCCATTCTTCAGATTCACCAACTGGCTCTTGTGTCACTGCCCAATAATCTCTCTCTTCCACCCTCTCTCTCCCACCTCCCTCTTTCACTCCCTCTCCATTATTACTTTTATTTCAAACACTAATAGTCCGTTGATCCAAGCCACAAACCTAGACAGTGTAGTCTTTCCAGCTCCACTGACACCAATAAGCAACAAATGACTCTAAAAGAGGCGGAGTCAATAAGGGGTGGGGTTAATAATAGACCACACCTACCTGTTGCTGTTTGAAGATCCTGTCAATACAAAGGACATGATGAAGGACTTCATTAAAGAGAACAAGAGGAACGTCTAGCTCTTCCTCATAGAAAACCTTTAGCCTGGCCTGTACATAATCACGCAACTCTTCTTAATCCACTGGTAGATAATCCTATAAAGAATGAAAGGCAAACATATACATGTACTAGTGTTGGTATTGGTATCACATTTTGGATTTGGTTTTAGTTATGGTATTTTCACCAATTCTCATGATTTATAGATATTAGTTTTAGTAATTTTACCGAAAGTAAAACTCTATTGGTATTGGTAACGAATATTAATTTTGGTAGATTATAGTAAGTACATATTTTAACAAAACTAACTCTAGTCACACTATTAATTTTAGACTAATGATTTAATTGTATTAAAAGTAATTGTATTAGTTCTGCATCATAAGTGTAGTAAACCCATATGTTACTGTTCCTTAGTATTCCACTTTTAGTAGCCATTTTGCAACTAAGATAGCTACACATAACATTTGCTTCACGAATTTGCACATGATAGTCTAGTGATATCAAT